GAAAGGGAAAGAGAAATTTGCTTGCAAATTGAAGAAAAGTTTGTATGGTCTCAAGCAAGCCTCGCGGCAATGGTACAAAAAATTTTGATTCTTTCATGATGAATAATGGTTTTTCTAAAACCACTTAGGACCATTGTGTGTTAGTGAAAAATTTCCCGAATGGTAAATTTATTATTCTTTTGCTTTATATTGATGGCATGTTAATTGTGGGTCAAGATTCTACCATGATTAACAAGTTAAAGTTAGAGTTGAGTAAATCTTTTGCTATGAAAGATTTGGGACCGGCAAAGCAAATACTTGGTATGAAAATTGTTCGTGATCGCAAAGAGGGGCTGATTTGGTTGTCTCAAGAAAGTTACATTGAGAAAGTTCTTGAAAGGTTCAATATGGATAAAGCGAAGCCAGTTGGTTGTCCATTTGCAGGTCACTTCAAGTTTAGTTCGAATCAATGTCCTACAAGTGAAAAAGACAAGGAAGAGAAGTTGAAAGTTCCTTATGCTTTAGCAGTTGGTTCTTTGATGTACGCCATGGCTTGTACAATGCCGGATATTGCTCACACCGTTAGTATGGTGAGTCGGTTTCTTTCTAATTCGGGTAAAGAACATTGGGCAGCGGTAAAATGGATTCTGAGGTATCTTCGAGGGATTTCGAAGGTGTGTTTGTGTTTTGGGGATGGTAAGCCGATGCTTGATGGGTTCACAGATTCTGATATGGCCGGTGATGTTGATTCTAGGAAATCTACTTTGGGATATTTGATGACTTTTGCAGGGGGAACTGTGGCATGACAACCTAAATTACAAAAATGTGTTGCTCTCTCAACTACTGAAGCTGAATTTATTACCATTACAGAAGCTTACAAAAAAAGAGTTATGGTTGAAGAAATTTTTGCAAGAGTTGGGTTTGAAGCAAGAAAAGTATGTGCTTTATTGTGATAGTCAAAGTGCTATTCACTTGAGTAAAAATTCTACTTTTCATTCGAGATCGAAATACATTGATGTGAGATACTACTAGATTCGTGATGTGTTAGATTCGAAATTGTTACAACTCAAAAAGGTTTACACAGATGATAATATTTTAGATATGTTGACAAAGACTTTGTCGAGAGACAAGCAATTGAAGTGTCGAACTTTGGCAGGTATGGTTGATGTCTCCACCTAAGTCGATAAGGGGAGAATTGTTGGAGTATATCTCCTTATTGGAGTTTGAGATCCAATTGATTTGTTAAAGAATTTTAATTTGGTTTGGTTTAGGTATAATATATATATCTAATTTTTTTGGAGACCTAATTCAGTTTGGTAACAACTAAGATTTTGATAAAATAAGCCCAAGATTTAATATATATATATATATGTATATTGTTTATTCTACACAAGAAAAAACGTACTGTATGGTTGCTACAAATTTGTTCCACCTTTTTTCTGAAGTGTTGTGCGGCTGGTTTGTATGTGTACAGGCTGGGTAATCAATTCGGTGGACTTGCTTTATGTAGCAACAATTTGTTTGATACAAATTCAAGTCAGTGGATTGTTTTCAAGCACGGTTTAAGGGCTTTGACAATTTTGGCGCGCAGAAGGTGTTGATTTGGGTTGTTATTTTGGGTCTTTTATAACTCTGTTTCGAAGATTTTGGTTCATCTATTTGGTAAGGTCTTTCCTCTTGTTTATTTGTGATTATTTGGAATTTACCTAAGGGTGGTTTTGTGAGACCATTCGTGTCTCGTTTGTATTCGTTTGAAAATTTTTTAGTTAATAGTGGAATCGGATTTCGATCCCGTGGACGTACCTCACATTGAGGAAACCACGTAAAAATTCTTGTGTTGTTTTTTATTTAATTTTTTCGCATTAGTTTTTATTCTCATTTATTGATTTTCTTGTAAGAATCATTGATTTTCCCTAACAAGTACTTCGACCATCAATCTTTGGCTTTTAATATGTAATTCAAAATGCTCAAGGCACTCAACAATTGAGTTAATTCAAATTATGATCCTATGGGTCAATTAGATTTTAAAAGTTTATTGAAGTTTCGGGTTAAATGGGGGCATTACTCCTAAAGACAAAATCTAAAGGATCCATGTGATTTTGACATTAAACCAAAGATTCCAACTGATTTCATACCCAAACCCAAAGATCCCATATGACTTTTATTAAACCGAAGAATCAAGTGACTTGACACCCCAGGCTCAAAGGTTCTATGTGACATTCACATTAAACCTAAGATTCCAAGTGACTTATTGACCCTTAAAACCCAGTATCCCAAGTGACTTGGCACCCAATTCTATAGGTCTCATGTGGTTTTGACATTGAGTCCAAAATCTCAAGTGACTAGACAGATCCGGCCAAAGACACCCATTGTCCTAAGTAACTTGACACACTCGGAATATGGTCCAAATATCCCATTATCAAACTTAACATGAACTCAACCAACAATATAAAGCTAAAGCTCTCATAACGCTATGTTTGATTGGAGGATTTGAGAAGAGATTTGAAAAAGAAAAATGAAAAAGTAGATATAATGTGAATAAAATATATTTATATTTTATTTAATTTCACACACCTTTTCTTTTTCTGTTTCCAAATCTCCCAACTAAATATAGCGTAAAATGGGTTGGCATTTACCCAAGGTGACAGTCCTCCCTCAGCCTAATCCATTTTAGATGTTAAAGGATAAAATTTGAATAAAATATATATTGTTATGAAGTTTTGAACTAGTTTTAGAAAAGTTAAAAAAAAAAAATTAGACTTAATGGTAATTTGGAGGGAAAAATGATCCTTACCGTTGTTTTCTAGCTTACGTAGTACACGGGTTTGCTAGAATGCCTCATTGATTCGGGACAAAGCCCAACCCATACATACAATTGGCAAAGGAAAGACCCACATTTCGTAGATCCCACCCGACGGTTGAGCCCGTCCACTCGATCTCTTTTTCGATTCACTCACTGGTCCGCTTTTTAAAACATTGATTCTAAGTAACAAAATGTTAGAATTCATCCAATATTATGTATTTGTGTGCAATACCATAGTCTAAGAAACTATATACTATATAGATTAAGGAAATCGCCCACTTAGGCCTTGTTTGAGAACATGTTTTTTTAGTAACTTTTTGACTTTTTGACTACAATATAATGTAAAAAAAACTAGTATATTTTGGATGACTTTTTGATTTTTTACGAAAAGATGTACAAAAAGTAAAAAGAAAAAGGAAATCTTTGACTTTTTGATATAAATTATAAATTATTTAATTTTTTTAATAACTTTTTAACTTTTAAACTAAAATAATAACAATGCTAAAGGACCACAATTTTTGTGATCACAATGGCTCAAAACTATTAAAATAATATCATTTTAGGTGCAAAATATGCCAAAATAATTAGATTCAATCTTGCAAAGAGAGATAAATACAGTGCATCTCTCACGGCACCAATATAGTCTAGTTCCCTCGTCATCATAATTTATAATCCACCGGTCGGTCAATCAATCAGAACCCCACTTTAACAATTAATGTGGAATTGTGCTTTTGCAGAATAATCATACAAGTATGGTCCATACTACATTTATACTTTTGTTATTTAATGCCATTTAATGCCAGTCAATAATGCCTTCGAAAGTTGAAAAAAATAAAGTAAATTGATCCCATGTAGTTTAATCATCATAATCTTGACAAATACTAAGTGCCGTTTTGGGAAGCCTTAAAAAACGCTGCGTTTTTTTGATCAATTGGCTGAGGGTATTTTGGTGATTTTGTAGTGATGTGACAATTTTAAAAAATATTAAATTAAAAAGTAAAAAAGTCAACTTTTTATCAACTTTCCAAATCACTATCAAAAAAAGTCAAAAAACTTGATAAAAAGTAAAAAACTAACTTTTTACCAACTTTCTAAAACACGCCTATAAAGGCTAGGCAACTAGTTTTAGGAGCAGAGATTGTTAAAGTATCCACCAAACAAGCAATAAGAAAAAAATAAACAACCACCATATTAAATTAGAAAAAATAAACAAGAACATTGTATTTTTGTTATACAAAATAATTATTAGTATTGAAATTGCTCTAGGGTACCTGTCCTAAAGGATGGCCACGGGGGGTTTGGAACGAATTTGCCATTCTCCGCTCCTGCGGACACACTCCACCCCTCTTATGGGTAAAATTTTTCAACTTTGACTACATTTTAAAAGTCAAAAAAATTAAAAACTATTTAAATCTTTAATATATTAAATAATTTTCTTTGTTTTCATATATATAAACAGTGAGACTTTTAGAATTATTATTTATTTATATTTAAATATAATCACAAACTTTTAATTTTATTTTCTTATGTCTAATTATATTATATATACATATATATTATTTATTTATATATTATCAATTATATCAGGTTCAATTTGAATCAAGGGAGGCAATACCGGCCTCTGTTCCACCCCGTTACAGAGGACCAAAATATAATCTATCTCCGCCCCACATAACTGTCGGGATGAGTAACATCCATCCCATTCTGGTGGGTATAAGCAACCCCTACTAATCGAATTAAAATGGTCATACCTAATTTGTCCAAATACAATTAAAAAATTATTTAGGCCTCTTTTGAATACCAAAAAAAAAAGTTATTAATTTATTTAGATCACGTCATTTCTTTATTTTTTTTGACACTTTTTTTTAGTAAACTTATAAATTATATTCAAAACAATCCTATTGGAAGCTATACATTACTTTGTCTGGTTCAGGATCTCACTATCTTTTCACATGTTTTGGTGAGTCTTACCTACGGGGAGCCCACATTTATATAAGAAAATTGTATTTTGGGGTTATTTGGAGTTTGTTTATTTAGTTTATTTTTTGATTTTTTATAAAAAATTATAAATAAAAAAAATAGAGAAATAATATGATGTAAATAAGTGTGTTTATTTATTTAAATCATTTACAAACAATCCCTTAATTTTGTAATTGAATTCTGTATAATGAGATGAACACGTTGGCAAAGCAAGTTGAGCCTCCTATTTCAATCAAGCTGAAAAAACCTCGATGTTTATTTTTTGCGTCTATTAATTGCAGTGAACATGCTGAAGAATGGGAACTTCGAAGAAGGTCCATACGTGTTCCCGAACACATCATCGGGAGTCCTGATCCCTCCCAACATCGAGGACGATCACTCCCCACTCCCCGGCTGGATAATCGAGTCCCTCAAAGCCGTCAAATACATCGACTCCGACCACTTCTCCGTCCCCGTGGGCCGCCGAGCCATCGAGCTCATCGCCGGCAAAGAAAGCGCCATTGCTCAGGTTGTCAGGACCAAGCCAGGAAAGCTCTATTCCCTTACCTTCGCTGTCGGAGACGCCAGCAATTCCTGCGAGGGGTCGATGGTGGTCGAGTCATTTTCTGGCAACGTCACGGCTCATATTCCCTACGAGTCAAAGGGGAAAGGCGGGTTCAAACGGGCTGAGCTCCAGTTCACGGCTGTGTCGCCGCGGACCCGGGTTAGGTTTTTGAGCTCGTTTTATACTATGAAGAACGATAATTCTGGTTCGCTTTGTGGTCCGGTTATCGATGATGTGAAGCTGCTTGGTGTTCGTAATTCGCTCCGTGGTTGATCATATATGTATAATTGTTCATGCTCCCAGATTAGTCGATTCTTCAGATCGGATATCGAATTATCAAAAAAAATATGGCATTAGTTGATGATGAGAGATCGCTGTATTGCTTGTGTGCGTGTGAGATTCATTTTGCATATTTTGAGATGTTTAAAATGGCGTTTTTTCCCCCTCCTTTTACTTCTTTAACAAAAATCAGGATGTTTGTTTATGTATACATTGTTATTAAAAGTAAGAACACACACTATACTAGGGTCATGTTTGTTTGGGTGGACATGAGCTTGGGATTGGACTAATAGTCCAATAAAATTACTAATCTAATGTTTGATTAAACAATTAAAGTACGGACTAATTATTTTAAACTTGACTATTAGTTAAGATAGGATACATAATCCAATGGATTTGTACCCCTAGGACTATTAGTCATGGGAATGCTAATCCAGTCCGCCCAAACAAACATGGCCTAGGTGTGTCATTTAAAACAATTGTTATAATTGATAAAAGTTTGGAATAGATAAAATTTGATAAATTATCTATTGTCTTATTTGTTTTTTGTTTTATAACTATTCTATTTATAGTTGTTTAAAATAAAAGAATATAATAATTACTTGATGACAGATTTTAAATATATAAAAAAATGTCGTAAAACTTCAAAAATTGTAATACTTCGTATGATTATAATGATATGAATGAATAAAGTTTGCAAGGATGCATAGTTGATTTGCAATATTAACAAAATTTTATCCATATTGTAATCATTGAGCGCATGTTTGATACAATGGGCTAAAATAATCAGGTTCAATTTGAATCAAGGGAGGCAATACCGGCCTCTGTTCCACCCCGTTACAGAGGACCAAAATATAATCTATCTCCGCCCCACATAACTGTCGGGATGAGTAACATCCATCCCATTCTGGTGGGTATAAGCAACCCCTACTAATCGAATTAAAATGGTCATACCTAATTTGTCCAAATACAATTAAAAAATTATTTAGGCCTCTTTTGAATACCAAAAAAAAAAGTTATTAATTTATTTATGTACTTAAAAACCAGAATTCAAGGCCATGGTTTGCCCACAGCCACTTCAAAACCCAAGAAAATTCTCACTCTCTCTCCTCTCTCGCTCTCTTCTTCTTCCTCCTCCTCCTCCTCCTCCTCCTCCTCTCCAGTTGTTCCATTCTCTGCAACACTGCTATTCTCAAACCCAACAGCTATGGCTTCAATACCCAATCCAAACCCATCACCAGCTTACGTAGAAGCTATAGAAGAGATCATGAAAGCCTACAAATCACTCCTTCCCAGACCCACAATCGAAGAGGTCGAAGCCGCCACTTCCCTCCTCAAAACCGTCGAAACCGAACACCAATCTCGTCTCTCCGAGATCTCCCTCCACGTGGC